ATATATATATATATATATATATATATATATACTAGAATAGACAATCATATTTATTATAGATCAATGGCCATGATATTGCAAATATCTATCTAGAAGACTACAACTAGGATTAGTAATAGAAAGAATAGTAGCAATAACAATATGAATTAGTGGTCAAGTGCAAGGTAATTACTAACAAATTATCCAATTCAAAAATTATAAAATGGGTTGCCAAAATTTATAATGTCATAATGTTGCCATGCATAAAGAAGTCATAATGTTCACTAAAGTGATGATAGGAATTTCAATAAAATTTAAGGCATAAATAAGGATTTAAGTTATTGCTTTGAGAAATAATCCTTCTATTTTTTTTTTAAAATAATTTATAAACAAATGATAATTTCTAAAACTAAAATTTTCAAATTTTCTGGATATTTTCAAAATTCATTGATATTTTATTTATTTATTAAATTGTTTTGTAAATCTTTATGTTTTATTGTCAAGCATCCATTCACAAGTTAAAATTCTAAACAAAACATGTAAATATAAAGTTTACATTCCTCGCACATTTCCCCAACTAAATTGAAACTCATCCCATAAATCAAAACAACAAATACTCCGGAAAATATAAAAAATAAAAATGAAAAAAAGTCAAAATTAAAGCAAATTAGATGTGACATTAATGTTTAAGATAAGCTTTTAAAGCTCAACTTTCAAAAATATAAGTTTAAGGCGGTGTTTGGGTGCAACATAAATTTGCATTAAATAAGATTTACCAAATCCACAGCAGAATAAATTCACCTCACAATCGGATTCACTACATCCGAATTTATGTATTATAAATGACGGAATATGCGAAGAAAAAGAAAACGTGAGAAAATTAGATTTAGCCAAGCATTAGATTTAATTTTTATTTTTTAGGTATCTGGTTGGATTTAAATTGAATTCATGGCTAAATCCAATTAAAACGATGACTAACCCATTGATGTCTTCCATCCATGAACTTCCATAATGAATCCTTCTTCACATGTTACTCCCACATTATGCTCAAGCCTTCAAGAACATTTGTGCAAACTCTAGTGTCCATTTCATCCCCATTCCCCCAACTTGATCAACATATGTCTAGTTAGCGACCATAACATGGCTTCCATAATACTAAGATGCATGTTTTTATCATGAACTAAATTCTAAATAGTTTCTAAGGGATTCAACTCCATGCATATTTTCAGTAATATCCATCCAAAAAACACACTGCAAAGAACTTTTACTCACTGCATGTGTACCATGAGACAAGTATGATCAATATCATGTACAGTATCTAATTATATATTTGTATCAATGCACCATCTGTAAAAGTACTAAAATTTACAGGATATTTGGTTGCAAATGATGTGTCAAATAAATACAATAGCAGACTTTAATTTTTGGGGCATTTACATACATACCACCCAATTCCTATGTATATATTAAATAATATTCGACAAACTAGTGCAGTAGCTATTTCTAAAGATGCTTAGATATAGCAAACTTAGGGTGTGTTTGGGGCAGCTTGTGCTTATCCAGATAAGCCATTTATCCAGAAACACGGATAGAGGGATTCGACCAGCGTTCCGCGTTTAATGTAAAAAACCAACTGCGTTTTCGAATAAGCTGCTCAAACGCAATTTCCATATGGTGAGACTGCATTTCGCTGCGGATAAGCTACCCCACAGAAACACGGATAGCGGGATTCGACCAGCGTTCCGCGTTTAATATAAAAAACCAACTGCGTTTTCGGATAAGCAGCTCAAACGCAGTTTTCAAACGGTGAGACTGCATTTCGCTGCGGATAAGCTACCCCAAATGCACCCTTGGTCAGGCATCATTGAGGAGTATATGCGAGCAAACCTCTTTTATAGGTGGGTCAGCAAAAGGTCCTTCCAACAATCCACTGGCAATGAATCTGTAAGCCGCTTCAGTGAGGTGCACTCCATCCCATGAGATATATATTGATTAAGACGACGGATCAGCGCAAACGGTTGCGGCCCTATCTCCGCAATGCACCTTTGTATTATAAGGGCGACCCCCGCTGCAGCATGGGGCCATAGGAACTTTCCAAGTGTCTGAAAGCAATTTTTATTTTTATTTTTATTGACATTTTTGGAAATCAAACGTAATTGTTATGAAGAACTGGAGCAAAAGAAGAAGAATAGCCTCACTCCAGCTGCTGTGGTTGGAGATTAAGTTCATGATTGGATTGTAGTAATCAGCATAGATGATGGTGGCATGCGGGTGAAGAGCTCGAAGGCGGTCTAGCTCCAGCTGCAACTGCTTGTTATGGTATTGAGCGAATTCGTTCAGCCATTTGATGCAACCTGTGCTCAAATCACGATCTTCCGAGTGCTCGAATATCGTGAGGTAAACCGGAAAGCATCCTATGGGGAAGTTGCCTGGAACCAACAAGGTCTTCGCACCGAGCTCGATCAAATCCTGGCAGTAAAATTAAGATTTTGATACTGAAAATGAAGATTGATTTTAATGGAGGAATATGAAGAAAATGGCTTGGATAATGGCATTAGCACAAACGTTAATCAACCCGCTGATGGCATGGATGACAAGAGGAACATAGGATTTGAGCTCCCTGAGAGATTTTCCTTGTGCAAATGGAGAGTTATAATCATTACCACCGATCTCCCCAGCAAGGAAAAGTGAAGTGCCGAGTAAATTCTTGCAATCTGCCATCAAAAAGTGGAAGTAAATTTTATAAAACAATCGAGGATTACGCATTTAAATTTTAAGAAAATTGTAGGAATTTCCACATTGTAGCAGTGCTATTTGCCAAAATTCATCATTGAAGATTAAACTGATGAGTATGGATGACTTATACAAGCACTTTATGTTAAACAGGAACTAATGTCATATTAAATAAAAAAACTCAAGGGAAACGTACACTTGGGTTCTAACCAACTAATTAATACACACGCGCCATTTGAAGTAATAAAATAGTGAATGGGATACTTTCCTATGAAGATCGAGTACTAAATCCAATTGAAGTAATTACTAATTTTAGTAAACCTAAATTTTATCCAACAAATCTATTAAAAGTGAATGTTTAAAAAGATATGAGTATTTCAAATTGGAATTTTCGTAAATCTTCGAAGATTACAATTTTCAAAAAACTATACACTTATATTTCCAGAAAATTAATTGCAATCCTATTATTGCACTAAATTTCAATAAAGATTTCTAGATCATGATTGATTTTAAAACATGCCAAACAAAACATACTTAAATGATGTTCAAAATTTCATAAGAAAATATATTTCATTTGAATTAATTCAAAACACATAAATTATATTATAAAAGTATAATGGGAAACACAATCCATAGAAAAATTGGCATAGTTCCTAAGCATTGTTATTAAAAACAATAAAAAAACAAACATACAATCACAAGACTAGAGTAAAAATGATAGAACTCAGTTAAGCCTTTGAAGACCAAATATGCTCCTGTTTCCCTTCCTTTGCACATCTTTACATTATTGCTCACTCCCACACTCAATACTCACACTGACACTACAAGTCTCCTATAGTCTTAGTGCACACTATGATATACTCCCTAGTGTCTAAAACTACTCCAATTACTATGATATGCTCCATAATCCCCTTGGGACCGCTCCAAAATGGAATGAAAACTGCTCTATTAAGCCATCACGACATTAATGGTGTAGAGCTGCTATGCCGCTAATGGAGTGGAGCTGCGACGCCTAGCTCTCAAGTTTCTGGCATGTTTATCTTAATGTTACAGCACTACAATGATGCTTGACTTGGTTCTGCAATGCTGAAACGATAGCGCTCTGGCTATGGAAAGTGGCACTGCACACCATATCGGGTTTCTCGACCACTTTTGCCTCCTTCGTTGTTGCAGCATTCGTAATCCTGCACTTCGGCGCTGAACTTCTCGCATCTTTGTGCTCAAAACCAGTGCTATGACGTTAAGCTCTCAGGAAATTTGCATCAAAATTGGAACCTCAGGTGCTATGATGCTGTGCCTCTAGTGTCGTAGTGCTGCGTGTACCTTCTCCTATTATTCTACAAATTATTGTCATGTCTATTTCCTATCATAAAATACAGAATAAATGCAATAAAAATTAATAAAAATATATGATTTGAAATAAATCACACCTAATTTCTCTGCACTTAAATCACTCAACAAAATTTCAAATTTTCTAAAACTTTACATATTATTTATCATCAAATAATCCACACTATACATTTATGTCCTCAAGTCCTTTGATAATAAACTTTTCTTAAACTTAACTGAAAAAAATAATAATAAATTTTACGTACAAAATCATCAATAATAAATACTAAGTAAACACAATATTACCTAAATTCTTATCTTCATCAATATTCTATGAATTATAATCATGAGGAGTCCAATGTGTAGATAATCGATTCCTAATAATTTTTAATTAATGAAAGATTCTAAAATTTTGGACTTAATCTTATTGAATAAGCATAATATAAATTTTCTTTCCTAAATATAATACAAATAGTTATAAGATAATAAAATTTGATAATTCAATTTACAAAAGTATAGATAAGAATTAAATAATAAGTATTTAAAAAATAGTCTCAATTATTTTTTCATCTTTTTTATTTTCTTCTCTCTTTTCATTTTCATTTTTTCCTTAACTTGATTTTTCCTTTCTATTTCATTTCTTCAATTTTTCTTTTAATCCTCTAGAGGATCAACTTTATTGACTAAAAATTTTCTACTTTAATTTACAATCCACTTTATCTCTCTCTTTCAATTATATATATTAGTGTTAATATCAAATTTTCCTGTGCAAGTACTATAGTTTGTTCATACTAAACCTTATTATGTTGCCTAAATTGATTAAAACTTTGAATTTTACACTCTTTTAATTAACTAAATTCATTTTTAAGTAAATTGTGTTATTTGATGTATGAGAAAAGTGTGTTATTTGAATTAAATAATAAGTTATTTGAATTATGAGAAAAGTGTGTTATTTTGATAATTCAATTTACAAAAGTATAAATAAGAATTAAATAATAAGTATCTAAAAAATAGTCTCAAGTATTTTTTCCTCTTTTTTATTTTCTACTCTCTTTTCAATTTCATTTTTTCCTTAACTTGATTTTTCTTTTCTATTTCATTTCTTCAATTTTTCATTCAGTCTTCTAAAGGATCAACTTTATTAACTTAAAATTTTCTACTTTATTTTACAATCCAATATATTAGTGTTAATATCAAATTTTCCTGTGCAGGTACTATAGTTTAGTTCATACTAAACCTTATTATGTTGCCTAAATTGATTAAAACTTTGAATTTTACACTCTTTTAATTAACTAAATTCATTTTAAGTAAATTGTGTATATGTGATTTATGCGAAAAAGATGTTAATTGAATTCATCAATTCCAACAATATATTTAGTAATTATTGATGTCAACAACATTATTAAATTATTTAATGATTTTTCTGAAAATCCAATTTTTAAATTATTATTCAAAATTTTAAACTTAAAACATAATTTTGTTGATCAAAGGTGATTAAATCAAACCTTGTTTGGATCACCATACAAACAAAACTCACATTTATAAGACTAATGTTGTGGCACTAAATAGAGCGCTCCCGGGTTACTATGTTCACACCCCAGTACAGAGAAACACAACATAATTTTCACATTGAAACCAAATTTGATATTATAATTAATGATGTAAAAGTACAATAGAAATGTAAAACAAAGTATTACGAACACAATCAACAAATAAAAAGTCCCTTAGACTTGTCTTGCACTTGCAAAAATAATAAAAACAAGTAGTGGAAAAAATAATAAAAAGGGGCAATAACAATGCAGGCAATAATGAAAATACAAAACAGAATCAACACAAAACCATTCATAATCTTTTCCATCACCCCCTTCTTCTTCCTCTACTTCCTCTACTGGCTAGCTAGGTCCTAAGCAGTTCGCGAATCGTCTCGACAACTTGCCGGAAGAGTTCCCGCGGCCAGGGAAGTTCTCGAAGGAGCGGTTTGCAAGCAGTTCGTGCGGTAGTCAGTTTCGCAGAGCAGAAGAGTTCGGTGGCGAACAGAGGAGTTTGGCCAGCGGAGTTCGCAAATTTGTCGCAGAAGGATTTCACTTGCAGGACACAGTTCGGTCGAGGTGTTGACACGAATAGGAAAAATGCTTCGTGTGAAAAATTTGATTCACGAATCACAGCAGAATTGCAGGAAAATTGCTGCAAATGACAGAAAAATTTCAGGTTTCTTTGAATTTATTTACGATGTATTTTTGTTTAGACACAAGGCAGAAAAAGTTCTCTGCAGAATTAATTTCAAATAACAATGTCTAATGCAAAATTCGAGAGAGTGAAGTTTGATGGAATCGGGAACTTCGGATTGTGACAAACAATGGGAAAAGATTTGTTGGCACAATAAAGAATTTTGAAGACTTTGCGAGCTACAAAACTTGATAATATAGAAGATAAAGATTGGGAATAATTGTAACTACGAGCAACATGTACCATACGTTTATGTCTGGCAGATGAAATTATATATCATGTTATGAATCTGAAATCTCCAGGAGAAGTATGAAAGAAATTGAAATCTCAGTTTATGTCAAAATCTCTGACGAATAAATTGTATCTGAAGCAAAAACTATATGGGTTGAAGATGCAAGCAGACACTGATATGGCGCAACACTTGAATGTCTTCAATCAAATAATCACAAATCTAACATGGTTTGATGTGAGTATTGAGGATGAAGATCGAACAATGATTTTATTGTGTTATTTGTCGTCTTCCTCCTATGAACATCTGGTGACTACTCTTATATATGTGAAAGAAACAATCAAAATTGATGAGATTACTGCAGCATTGTTGGCTCACAACCAGCGGAAGCAAAATGCAGGGGAAAACTCTCATGGTAATTGTTTATATGCTAAGGGTAATCAGGATCGTGGAAGGAAGGAGAAGAAAGAGAGTTCTAGAATGCAAAATTCCAGGTCAAAGCCTAAAGACAGAAAGACGATTCATTGCTACAGTGCAAGGAGCCGGGACATATGAAAAGAGATTATCCAAAACTCAAGAAGCAGTTTGATAAGAAACATGATGTATCTTCTAAGTCCATGAATATTTATGCAGAGTGACATTACAGATTACAATGATGGTGATGCACTTTCAGTTACAATAACTCGGTTGAAGGATGTATGGATTCTTGATTCAGGATGCTCTTCACATAACACCTACACATAACACCTAACAACGAATGGTTTACTTCATACAAGTTATCTGATTCTGGTTCAGTCTATTTGGGTGATGAAAAATGTTACAATATTACTGGTATTGACAATGTCAGAATTAAGATGTATGATGACACTTTCTAAACTTGTTGATAGTATCTGGCTTGGTCAACATATCTGCTGCAATTTCATCCTATGATTCAACAGAGAGAACTTCACCTACAACTGTACTCCCCAACAGTTTATAGATATTACCTTTAGTAATCTTTCCTTTCATCACAATCAATGCACCTTTAACAATTCTAATGGTTTTTCTATCATCATCTGTCTTAAGACAAACAATTTACGTGTAAAGTGCACAAAGAAAATAAATTCTTATTCAAATATGGAATATATGTCTTACATCACATAATGTTCTGACAGAGTCATCATACATCTTAATTCTGACTTTGTCAATACCAGTAAT